GCCAATTGGAGTGGGGACAAATGTAATGGGATCAGAATGAAGTGAAAATGACTTGGCACCTCTGGTTTTACATCAGCAAGATTCCTGCCCCATTAAAAAAAAGAAAACGTAAGCCTAATAAAAACATGTATATAATAAAATGTAGAGAATAAACATCAAGCCTGAGTATTTTTATAAGATCATTTTTATCATGTTGGTATTTAGTCCCTACTTTCAGATCTGTAATTTTCTCAATATAAACATCTCTTCATTCTTTCTTTTGTTCCAAGTAGAATTTATTTTGCTGCTAGAACAAAAGATTGAAGCTTTAGAGATTCTGCAGGTTCAGAAATAGAAGAAAAGAAGTTGTGGCTGACTGTTTTGAGAGGAACTCCCCCTCCTCCAAATCTCTACCCTAAAGTCTTAAACTTCAACTCTTTAACCATAAATTCCAACAACTGAGGTTTTACAGGGTATCAGGCACCCTTTTACAGAAACATATACCTACAAAGGCTAATGGATTAAGAGTGATGTCACTGCCAGTTTGTTCACTTACTTGAATTGAACTCAAACATTTACTGAACCCTGTATGTGCCTGACACTAACCTCAGGACCAGAGAAAGATGAATAAAGCCTGGCCCTGTCTCCAAGAGACACACACCTGCCAAACCAGGTAGTCTAAGGGGAAGGACGTTTGACCGCTGAGGTGGGGGAAGACAGAAAACTGTGTGGCATGGCTCCTTTGGAGGTAAGCCTGGCCCTGCTATAGGTGGGGGCTTAGGGAGCTAGGAGAACACAGGAGGCCCAAAGAGAGTGGTCGTAGGTATAATAGAGGCATGAAAAAAGGACAGAAAGGCTACCAAAAGCAGACTTTATCTGTGTCAACATTTTATTTACATCCTGTTCTGTGTCCAGTAGAGTGTGAAATGCGATAGGGCTGGAGAGACAAGAAACTCTGCCTTCAGTCACCTGATGATTACGGGCATACAGGCCAAGTAGCAATATACTAAGACTTCATTAATTACTACATTTTAGATCACTGTGGTCGAAAATGAAATTACAAAAGCACTATGGGGCCAGGCACAGTGGCTCACACCTGTAATACCAGCACTTTAGGATGCTGAGCTGGGAGAATCGCTGGCATCTAGGAGTTTGAGGCTGCAGTGAGCCACGACTGCGCCACTGCACTCTAGCCTAGTAGATAGAACAAGATCCTGTCTCAAAAAACAAAACAGGGCCGGGCGCGGTGGCTCAAGCCTGTAATCCCAGCACTTTGGGAGGCCAAGACGGGCGGATCACGAGGTTAGGAGATCGAAACCATTCTGGCTAACACGGTGAAACCCCGTCTCTACTAAAAAATACAAAAAGTTAGCCAGGCGAGGTGGTGGGCACCTGTAGTCCCAGCTACTCGGGAGGCTGAGGCAGGAGAATGGTGTAAACCCGGGAGGTGGAGCTTGCAGTGAGCTGAGATCCAGCCACTGCACTCCAGCCCAGGCAACAGAGCGAGACTCCGTCTCAAAAAAAAATGAAAAAACAAAACAACAACAAAAACACAAGTACGACGGTAATTTGCTTACGTATATGACCAAACACTAAAGTGAACTATCCAAATTTGGCTAAATTATACTTGTGTGATAAAAGTATGTCAGCTATCAAAATTATGTTTATGTGATAAACATTAAAACCATTCATCAATAGAATTGTCAGTGTCTGAATTAAGCTGGATTTTAGCAATAAGGAACAATAGGTGATCCCTGTGTTATGCCAGGATTAGTTTCAAACAAGTTTCAAGAAATATAAAAGAAGTTGAAAGAAGTAGAACATTACACTCAAACTGTGTATGTATTATCTCACTCCATTTCAACTTGGCCAAGGAGAAAAGATCACCAACCATTTCTCTAAATCTTTGTTTTCAACGCTTAAAAAAAATGTACTGGTGTATGCATGCTCTTTTACAGTCTATTGTGTAATAGAAAGATTACTGAACCTACAAGTTTAAAGACCTATATCTAACATAACATAGTTATCTGGATTTCTCCTCATCCATTAACTGAATGGACAAAGTGATTTCTAACGTCCTATTCTGCACTGAATGCTAATGAGTCCCAACTTGAATCAGTACAATGTGTCAATCAATTATAATTCATATCACTGAGCTTTGCATAGCAGTTTGAACTTCCAGGACTCAAGATCTCAAATTAGTAATATAAATATTACAACTCAAATTAAACTTGAAATTTAAAAAGCTCTTCTAAGCAACTCAATCGCTTAGTCACTTGGCTAAGTCAATTGCAAGTCTGTTGCCTACTCACCAATTACAACATTAAATATATTAGAAAATACATTCTGAGGTCTAAATAACTGACAGAAGTAATTGTTGGAATACAATTATTTTCTAAATTAAAGATTGGCTGTTCTATCTCCATTTCAATGTATTACATTAAAACCAAATAAATACTTGCCCCATCTATTGATTTTTACATTTAAAGGATAATTGATGCCTTCAATAACTATTTATTATGTTTCTGTTGAGAAATTAACAAAAAATTAAAACAATTCTTACCTCTCCATGTTTCTCAAAAAATTCACTTTTATGTCGATGCAATGTATCAATAACCTTAGTTAAGATCTGTGGTATTCTGTCTTTAATTGTAAGATATGCAAATGATCTAGAAAAAAGAGTCACATGCATTATATTACTTAGTAGCATCTACACTAGAAGATTGGCTTTTAGTTTCTGGGACATTTCATGTATATTAAACTCTTCATACAACTATTAAAAGGGAGACAAGTATTCTGTGATTACTATATTAAGACATAAGAAAACCTGAAAACTTCTCTGGTATGTCCTGGAAGCCAAATTGTCTCGGGGCCTCTAATCCCAGATTCTCCCATGGAGTCTGTTGAATCATTCTTATCTTTCCTATTCTATTGCTTTTATTTTCCTAAATCAGAAACTCGCTTAGCAATGTGACAGGATAGGGAATGGATTAGCTTAGAAATCAAACAGGCTCTTGTCCCAGGTCTACTACTATCTGCTAAGTCACCTGCTAAGAAAGGTGAAAGAAGCAGTGCATGTGAAACCACTTTAAAGTGTCTAATGTGTTTGAACAACATGAATAATTAAAGGTACTTGTAAGCCTGTGTCTCTCGATTCTGTCTGTATTCTGAGTCAATTTTAATTCTTTTCAAAGGTTTTCCCCTTCTCTGCCTTCTCTATCTGCACAATAGACTCCTTCCATCCTATTCTGCCCCTAAGCAAATGAAGGCATGCTACTGTCTTTCTCCCAGTCAAAAAATTAGAGATTTTATAGAAGTGTCCAAAAATGAAGCAAGCTGGAGATGAAGAAAGCTTATACCCGCATTAAAAAATTAAAGATATTCTTGATTTTATTCATACAAAAAAACCAAGATTTACAGATTATCATTTTATATCATTTTAAGGAAATACATGATTCAGGTAGAAACAAAGCTTTATTTGGTGGTGAAACTCCGTGCAGTTTTAAACATAGAGCACAGAGCTTAGCTGACCAGTGTTTTTATCTTCAGATCACAAGAGACAATCGTTAAATTATTAGGTTGTAACTCGGGTATTTCTTCAAAAGGTTTCCTCAGATGATAGCTAAGAAAAAAACTGCAAACACTTTCTTACTCTGCGGTGCCTCCAGTACCACCCAAAACAGTGATTAGGTTTTAATGTGTATAGTAACTACGTTGACCAGAATTTAATTTTTAAAAATCATTAATGAAAGAACACTAAAACCTCAGAGGGTAAGCAGGAATATTAAATCAACTGCCACTTGAATTTTCGCAGGCAGTAGGTACAGTAAGTCCTTTTTTGAGATTTTACTTTAATTGGAAAGTATTACTGTTTTCCTAACTACTACACTTCCCGCACCTCTGGAGCAAAGTCTCTGGCCAGGAATCGAGTGAGGCCAGAAGCCCTAGGGCGCAAAATTGAAGGAGACACTCTCTATACTTGCAGGACCTGAAACAGTGCCTGCTTCAATTTTGGGCCATTGGCGCCACTTTCTTGGCCTCAACCTACTTTCTGCGGTTTATTTTCCTCAAAGTGTTCTCGTCTTTTGCAATATTTTGAAGTAGGACCAATTTCAAATATAAATTTGGCCAATTTATGCAAATGGATGTTCTTATTTGCACGGTCACCCACAACTTTACCCAAGAATCTGTAGCGTGATGACTATAAAGCAAAAAACTACAGACAGTTCTTACTGTGAGATTACGATTTGATCAACAGGAAGAAACCCGTTTCTTAATAGCTCTGAGATCCCCAACTCTTACGGAGAATTTTAACGCCCCCAAAGCGAGTTCATTAAAGTGAATGAATGAAAAGTGACCGCCAGGAACAGACCGCGAAGCTGAGCCCTGTCCTGATCCTTACGAGCAGCCACCGCGGGCGGGCTCCCTCCCCGGGGCCGCCTCCCCTCGCCTCCGAGCCAGTCCGCGAAACCCGCAAAGGCGTCCTGGGAAGCCGCGCCCGGCGGCGGGACTCGAACGCAGCCCACCGGGGAGCGAGCGCCCTCCGCTTAGTCCCCACAGGCTCCTGATGAGGCCCAGCTTTCCGCAAAAGTGGGGAAGAGAAAAGTAAGACGAACCCCACGTCCTGTCCTGAGAGAGACGCCGGGACGACAGCCATTACGTTCCGCGATCCCGGCCGCAAAGATCGGCGCTCAACCGCCGCAGAAACAGAGTCGTTACTGCCGCGAAGGAGGAGCTGAGAATGAGGGTAGTGTGGCTTTTAAAAAAAAAAGTGCTTTTGAATAAAGAAACTTTATTTGGTGCCCGTACAAACGGCAAACGGTGGCTGGCCAGAGGACCCAATCTTCCGGGGACGAAGGCGGGGACAGCGGAGGGCGACTAGAGGAGCGGATATGGAAGCAGCGAAAGCCGGAAGCAGGTAAGGACCGGGAGGTCCCAGGGCCTAGGGAGCGGAAGAGGTCGCGGCGACGCGGGTCACGTGGTCAGACAGTCACGTGGTCCGAGTTGCTCCCGCTAAGTGTGACCAGAGTTCAGTGCGCCTGCGCAGTATCGGGGGTGGGAGGGAGCGCCCTTCCAGGAGAAGGGGTGGCTGCTGTAGTGAGAGACTGGTGCTGCGGCTCTTTCCCTGCAGTCCTGCAGAGGAAGCGCGCGTCCCTGGCCCTTCCTTCTTCTCTTCCGGCGGAGAGGTTAGTGTACTGCCTTTCCTTAGCTGCTTGGGTGGTCCGGCTCGGAGGTCTGCGCCCTGGCTCCTGGCCACCCGGAACGTGTACAGTCACGGGTTACGCTGGTGCGACTGTGACCCTCTGCCTCTTACCGTGATCTTTGGTCGACTTAGCTGGGAGTAAAAAGCACTCAGTCAATTAATGAACCCTTTTTTTGAGCCAGTGCACCGCGGTAACTGTAGAAATCGATAAAATAATTTTGAGTTTGAGGAATTGAACGGCCTGCTCCCAAAGATGAGTGACAGTTGTCTCTTGAATCGTAGCCTAGCTGTAACTGATTTTCTTAATTGGTGTTATTGTCTAAAAGTTGAAATGTGCCCAGGAACTGAGTAACTGCCTAGTATTTCATTTTAAAAATTCGATCGAATGCCTACTATGTACTGGGCGCTATTGTCAGGAGATATAGTAGGAAAAAACACACAAATCTGTATCCTCAAGGAGCTTCCATTCTGGAGGGAAGACACAAAAATCAGCCCTTTCCTTTTTTTTCGTTTAGCGTTCTGTCTCACGAATTTTACTGATTTACCTTGTTTTTGCCTGTCACTCCCAATGTAAGGTTCAAAAGATAGGATTTTTGTCTATTTTATTTTCAACTGTATTGTCAGCAACTAGGCACAATGGCTGGCACATGATAAGAACTGAGTTGTTTTGCAGTATGAATTAATAAACTAAAAAAGGTATGTAAGTGATGTTACACAATGGAGAAATGCAAAGTGGAGGAAGTTAGAGAACGGGTGCTGGTTGTGTGTTTTTAATGTAGTGGTTGGGGAAGGCTTCACTGGGTAGAAGACATTTTAGCAAACCTCCGAAGGAGGTGAAGGTGTGAGCCTTTCAGATCCCTGGGAGAAGAGCGTAAGGAACAACAAGTGCAAAGATCCAGAGGCTAGAATGAGAAGCAAAATAAGCAAAGGAGAGAGCTGTCGGAGTGCTGATAAAGGGCCAGAGAATGTAGTGCCATGCAGGCCATTTTGAGGGCTTTGGCTTTTTTTTTTTTTTTGAGACGGAATCTTGCACTGTCGTCCAGGCTTTAGTGCAGTGGCGCGATCTCGGCTCACTGCAACCTCGGCCTCCCGGGTTCAGGCGATGATGCTCCTGCCTCAGCCTCCCGAGTAGCTGGGATTATAGACCCGTGCCACCATGCCCGGCTAATTTTAGTATTTTTAGTAGACACGGGGTTTCACTGTGTTGGCCAGGCTGGTCTGGAATTCCAGACCTCAAGTGATCCCTCCCAACGTGCTGGGATTACAGGCGTGAGCCACTACGCCTGGTCGGAGGGCTTCAGCTTTTATTAAGTGAACCGTGAAGCCATAGCCACATTTTGCGCTAAGATTTGACTTCAAAGGATCACTTTGGTTGCTTGTGTTGAGAAGAAACTGTAGGGGGCCCAAAACAGAATCAGGGAAACTGGTTAAAGCTATTATAATAATCCATGAGAAGGATAGCAGTTTGGATTAGGTAGTAGTATTACTGATGATGGGCAGTGGTCGCTAGAAGGCCCTTGGGATTTACTGACAGGTTGGATATGGAGAATAAAGAGTCAAGGTGGACTCCACGTTTTTGGCTTAGCAGTTACAAAGATACTAATTACTGCTCGTCAATGGGAAAGACTGGGAAGAAAGGGATGCAAGGGATTCCAGGGGTATAAGAGAGAGATTAGAATGGTAGACCATAGAGTGTAAACTGAATATGGAAGAAGTGAAGTCATGGGGAGTGAGAGACCGCGAAAAGGTGGTTGGATCATTGACTCGTGGGTCCTGTTGGTGTTGAAGAATTGTTGGAATTGGGTAATAGAAGGAGTGAGATGCAAAGATAGGAGGTGGTGCTTAGAGAGTAGAATGGATGAAATTGAGGTGAGGAGGTCCGATGTATTGATAATGACAGTAGGGCCCTGTCTGATAGAAAAACAACGTAAGGCACAAATGTAATCTTAGGCTTTCTAGAAGGTGCAGTGATAAAAATGGGATGGGGTCCGGTGGCTCACGCCTGTAATCTCAACACTTTGGGAGGCCAAGGCAGGTGGATCACTTGAGGTCAGGATTTCAAGACCAGCCTGGCCAACATGATGAAACCCCGTCTCTACTAAAAATACAAAAAATTAAACATGGCGGCAGGCACCTGTAATCTCAGCTACTTGGGAGGCTGAGGCAGGAGAATCGCTTGAACGGGGGAGGCGGAGGTTGCAGTGAGCCAAGATCCCGCCATTGCACTCCAGCCTGGGCAACAAGAGCGAAACTTTGTATCAAAAAAGAAAAAAGAATAGCTAAAATGTATTTGAATAATGCATTTTATTTAGGTCAATATACCCAGACATATTATTTCAACAAATAATTGATAGAAGAGTTGAGATATTTTACTTATTAAAAAATTGAGGCTCAATTTATACTAGCCAGAATTCAAGGGCTCAATAGCAATGTAGGTTGTCTAGTGGCTACTTTACAGGTTACGGGATAATGACCATGGGCATGAGTGGCTGAGGAAAAGTGAAAAACAGGACCATTCAGGAAGGGAGATTAGGGAACTCAGGGCCAGGGTTTTGGAAGAATCATCCCCACCACTGATCAGCATGGATATAGAAACCATTGAAAGTTACTGCAACAATAATATTACCTGTAACTTTTACGTACATTGTGATAGTGCTTCATGTAGCCTCCATATTAAGGTAGTCAATAGCGTTTTGAGGTAAATAATTTATTCAAAGAGGCCAGGTGCAGTGGCTCACGCCTGTAATCCCAGCACTTTGGGAGTCCAAGGCAGGCGAATCGTTTGAGGTGAGGAGTTGGAGACCAGCCTGGCCAACATAGTGAAACCCCGTCTCTGCTAAATAAATAAATATATATATATATATAAAAAAATACAAAAACTAGCTGGGCTTGGTGGCGCACACCTGTAATCCCAGCTACTCAGGAGGCTGAGGCAGGAGAATCACATGAACCTGGGAGGTGGAGGTTGCAGTGAGCTGAGGTGGCACCACTGCACTCCAGCCTGAGTGACAGATCGAGACTCCCATCTCAAAAAAAAAAAAAAAAAAGAATTTCCTCAAAGATAATGAAAGAATCCAGGACTGTGGACACATTTCTAAAATATTTTATAGTTAGGTTCTTCAAAATTAAGTGGTTCAACTGGAATGGAATAGTACTAATCAAAGGTGAACTGCAGTAGCCAATTGGACTAGAATGAAGCACAGAATACCGGCTTTTGAAGGGATTTTGAAAGCAGCAGGTTCTACCTCCTAAGTATCACTGTGAATCATCTTTGTCCTTATCCTGGAGAGAGGTAATAAATAAATAAAAGGTAGTGGGTAAGAGTGTTGACTTTGGAATTGGGAAAGCCTGGGTTTTACGTTAATTACATCTCTGCAGCTTCTTAATGGTGAGCGCTTAGCCTCTTTAAACCTCAGTTTCCTAATCAGTGAAATGGGATCATTATGAGGTGAGGCCGAGCACTTGGCATGTAGAAAGTGCTCAGAGTGATGTTAGAGTCTCTCTCGTTTCCTCCTGCACATCATCACCAAAAAGTTGTTTCGGGAACATACATTTGACTATGTGACTCTCAGAGTTAGAAGCTCAGCTTTCTCCCCACCTGTAGAAACTCTTTGGGATGACTTTATAGATCCTCTGGTGATCTGGTCACTGGCTCTTTTTCGGTCCTTACCTTCTGCAGCTCACTCCTACCTCCCCTGAGATAGGGAGATAAATAGGACTCCATGCCTGAAGTGTTTGACTTGCTGATCCTTCTGCCCTTTCAAGACTCGGTTCAAATGTCACCTCTGTGACAATGCCACACTCTTCACATGCTCCTTTCTCTGGACTAGAGCAATTTGTGCATCTCATTCATTTTCCTCTGCTAGACTTTGAATTCTGAGATCATTGATTCATATATCTCTAGCACCTAACGTGTTATTTTTAAAAAAAGAATTATTGATTACTACGGTCTAACTTTTTTGTTTGTTTGTTTTGAAACAGAGTCTCATTCTGTTGCCCAGGCTGGACTGCAGTGGAGCGATCCTGGCTCACTGCAACCTCTGCCTCCTTGGTTCGAGCGATTCTGTATCTCAGCCACCTGAGTAGCTGGGATTAAAGGCACGCACCATCATGCCTGGCTGATTTTTTTTGTATTTTTAGTAGAGAGGGGTTTTCGCCATGTTCGCCAGGCTGGTTTTGAACTCCTGGCCTCAAGAGATTTCCCCCCCCACCCTTTTAGCCTCCCAGATTACAGGCATGAGCCACTGTGTGTGGCCTACTATAGGCTAACTTTAAAATAACACATTTCCTACTGTAAATAAGGGTGAAATTCTGTTTACCTTGTCTGGAAGGTTCATGTGTGTATCTGACGTGCCTCATGCACTCCCATGCCCAGCCCCAAGCTGAAAAGCACCTTCCCCTACTAGAATCAGCTTAGATCTTTCTGGGAGCCTTTCCTGATTCTTTTTTTTTTCCCTGAGGCAGAAAAAAGGCTGGAGTGCAGTGGTACAATCATGACTCACTGCAGCCTCGCTCTCCTGGGCTCAAGTGATCCTCCCACCTCAGCCTGTGAGTAGCTGACTACAGGCATGAGCTGCCATCACACCCAGCTAATTTTTAAATTTTTGTCATTTTTGTAGAGATGATGTTTCGCCATGTTGCCCCAGCTGGTCTGGAACTCTTGGACTCAAGCAATCCACCTGCCTCAATCTCCCAGTGTGCTGGGATTTACAAGTGTGAGCTACAGTGCCTGGCCAGAACAGATTTTTATATACTTGATATGCTAATGAAGTAAATGAAGTGGTCCCATCACTTTTTTTTTAAGGTTCTTGTTATGTCAGTAGCTTTATAATCTTGTAATCTTCCAGGAAGAAGGCCAAATGTTGATAAAGGCAAAGTGGCAGAAACACTGTACTTACTTTTTTAACCTTGTTGTTTTGCTAGAATTAGGATGTATCTGTTTTACAAATTTTTTTACAGAAATATGCCTGTTACTTAGGGAAATGTTATATATGTTTTAAGCGTTAATTTTAAAACTTGAACTTTGAATTCCTTTTCCTTTAGCTTGGGACGTGGTAATGCCAGCCACACTCCTCAGAGCCGTGGCCAGATCTCATCGTATATTATCAAAAGCACATCAGTGCCGAAGAATCAGTCATCTAATGTTAAAATCACTTAAGGAATTTGAAAATACAACATGCAGCACACTGACAGTATGTCAAAACTTGGATTTCTTCCTTCCTGATAAAACATCTGGTGGTTTGAATAAGTCTCAGATCCTGGAAATGAACCAAAAAAAATCCAATACAAGCCTGCTCTCTCCATTAAATGCTGCTCGTTGCCAAGATGAAAAGGCACACCTTCCAGCCATGAAATCCTTTGGTACTCACAGGAGAGTGACCCATAAACCACATCTATTGGGTTCTAAATGGTTCATAAAAATATTAAAGACGCATTTCTCATCTATGTCAACGGAAACATTTGTTCCAAAACAAGACTTCCCACAGATCAAGAGACCACTAAAAGCATCCAGGACCAGACAGCCATCCAGGACCAACCTTCCAGTTTTGTCCGTGAATGAGGTAAAGTAGGGGTGGCCGTGGCTCTTGTGCTTAGTGATCGTTGCTCACGCTAAACCAGTGTGCACTGCACCCAGCCTTACCACCAACGTAAGAGAACTGGCAGTCACTCAGACTTCCTCATCAAGATCTTTGAAGCCTAATAAATATCCAAAGGGATTCAAAATCTTAATTTTTAACAATTAATGATACATATAAAAACAAAATACAGACAATAAAACATGAAAATATAGTTTATAAAAGATTTGGTTATTGGTCTAAGGAAATTGAAAAAGAGGACCGATATTAAGTCCAGTCTAAGAATGGGACTGTAAAAAAAATTAAAAAAAAATTAAAAAAACTAGAAATTCTTCATCAAATTAAAAAAAAAGTAACTGCAGACAGATAAGCCTTTATTAGGCTGTGGCAGTTGCATGGGTCGGTGAAATGACATGGTAAGGTAGCCTCCAAAAGCAGCAGGGGAGGAGGGCCTTGTTTTTTTATCCTCTTAAGGTTTAAGGGGGTATTTTTTTTATTCATCCTTAAGGAGTTTCTGGGAATTTTTCTGCTACAATTTGCATTTCTTCTTCAATAACAGGTTAAGGGTCAAGATCAAGCCCTTAGTAACCTTTGTGTCTTGCATAATACCTAGAACTGTATGTTGTACTTACATGTTTATTAAATTGGAAAGGATTGAAAAGAGGCAAGAGGATCTTTAATGCCAATAGTCATCAACATTAAAGATACTTTAAACTTGATGAAGACTTCTGAATCTATCAGAAAACAGGTTAGAATGTCTGTCTTCAAGTCTTGGTTCTGAAAAGTAGCCCCTGAGCCTGTTTAATTTGGGCCGTGTTTTTATTACTGTGTAGCTGACACCCCTTGGAAAGGTATACATACATACCTTTACTCATCCTCTGATTCGGAAGCTAGGAATTAATGAATGGTTTTTGTGTTGGATTCTGGAATGCTTTCAATTCTTGTGTGGTTTCTCTGAACCCAGGATGTGAAGGATGGAGTGTTGTGCGGCTACTGCTCCACCTTTCCTTTTGCTGGAGCTTTGGGGTAACCTGGGAAATTCAGTATTTAAGTGTCCAAGATGACATTAAGTGTAAAAACCTGAATTCATGGCAGATCCAAAAAAGAGAAAGCTCAATTCTGTTCATTTGTAACATCTAGCAGCACAGTGCGTCGGTTTTCTTAGGAAGAAGCTGATACAGTCAGAGATGTCCCTAGGCTATTTCTTTGGGCCATCCTTAGACTTGCAAGCAATTTTCCTAAATACCATATCTTGTTTTTCTTTAGGTTTTTTTTTTTTTCTACTTCCTTCCAGGAAAGAATTTGAAGTAGATTTTCAACATTCAACATAGTTTCAAATGAGATAATAAATACTTTCGCATATTAGAACAAATAGTTGACATGAACAGAGAAATGTTATGAAGTATCTGAAATGAATAATTTAGTTGAATATTGTGTTTTGAGAAGCCCGGTAATTAAAAGAGGAAATCCTCCTGGGATTTACTGTTTGTTGTTTTTTATTATGGGAGAGGGCAAAGTAAAAACATAAAAATATCTTCAGAGAAATAACTTTTTCCAGCACCAAAATGAAGGAGTTATTTCGTGGATTCTGTTATGGGAGACATTGTGTAACATGATAGACAATGACTTCAGTTGGAGTTTGGCAAAAACAAGCCGTATACTGTCTTTCTGAAAGCACAGGAATATAATAGAAAAGCAGATGTTTCTGGCCGGACGGTGGCTCACACCTGTAATCCCAACATTTTGGGAGACCAAGGCAGGTGGATCACTTGAGGTCAGGAGTTTGAGACCAGCCTAGCCAACATGGTGAAACCCTGTCTCTACAAAAATACAAAAATTAGCCGGGCATGGTGGTGGTGCAAACTTGTAATCCCAGCTGCTCGGGAGGCTGAGGCAGGAGGATCTCTTGAATCCAGGAGGTGGAGGTTGCAGTGAGCCAAGATCGCGCCACTGCATTCCAGCCTGGGTGACAGAGTGAGGCTCTGTCTCAGAAAAAAGAAGAAAATCATATGTTTCTAAAGTGATCTGAGATAATATAATTTTGGAACACCATTTTTTGAAGATTTTATTTTTCATAGAGAAAGCAGTCTTGGCATGACTAGGTAATATGTCCGCAGGACCAAAGCCTGACTTTCATCTGCCACAAATTGAGGGCCACTCCATTTTCATACAGCCATCATAGTGGTAAACCCTTTATACCATCAAAGTAGTAAACCCTTTATGTCCTTTATACCATCAAAGTGGTAAACCCTTTATACCACTCTTGACTGAGACAAGGAAAAGCTTCTGCTTTGTGTCAAAAGCATGTGGACTTTGTTTTGTTCCCATAGTTGCACTGAGCTCATCTTTTCAGCTCTGCAGAACAACATGCATCTGGAGTTGGCTGAATGGTTTCAGTCACCCTCTCTGTTCAAATTAAATCTTTACCTGGTCTCATTTTCAGAGATCATCATCTGAGATATTCAACCCACATCCCTTTGGCTTACAATTCTTAAAAGCAATAGTGGGTCCTGTGGCTTATGCCTATAATTCCAGTGCTTTGGGAGGCTGATGCAGGAAGACCACTTGAGGCCAGGAGTTCAAGACCAGCCTGGCAACATAGCAAGACTCCCATTTCTAAAAGACTTAAAAAAAAAAAAAATTAGCCGGGCTTGGTGGTGCATACCTGTAGTCCTAGCTACTCAAAAGGCTGAGGTGGGAGGTTCGCTTGAGCCTGGGAGTTCCAGGCTACAGTGAGTCATGACTGCACCTCACTCCATCCAGCCTGGGCGACCAAGGGAGACCCACTAAACAGTCACCTCATTGAAACAAAAGATGTTCCCATCACTCGTGAAATTCCAAGGGGTTTAGAAGCTCTGTGTTAGTAACTAAAGACCCACTAAACAAACGAGAAAACAATCATAGCAGTGCTTCTTATTAATGTCCAGTCTTTGAAGAGAACACCAGAGGATGGGAATGGCAGGTCTGAGTGGCGTGGAGCCTGATACCAGGGAGAATGTTTTCAGGCTAATAGCACAGTGTGTTACGGAATCACTAGTGGATTATTAACCATGTTTTTTGAAAAATGAAATACAAAATAACAGAATACATTGCTCATGATAAAGGTAAATACTGGTTTGTGAAGCTATTGTGGCAATTATTGGTGTGTGAGCATAGATGTGTATATGTACTATGTATAATGATTTCTTATAGATTGTAGTCAAAAAACTTAAAAGATAAAGCATAATACTGGTAACATAAAATGTATCTGTGTTTTTATAGCTTTCATCTCCAATGAGTACATTGCAGGAGAAAAGACATTTTTCCTTAGTATGATCTATCTACTCACAGTACTTCTTACATCAAATATATGGGAGCCTTTTCCTCCTCCTCCCAGCCAGTTCTCCAATTCTCCAGACACTAACAAGGTGTCCTGCAATTCAGTTCAATTCCAGCGCTAGCCAGAGTTAGTGCAGACCCCAGTTAATTAAGCTGGGCCCCACAAGACTGCCCTCCCGGTTGACACCTGTGCTTCCAACCAACCAGCTCTATGACCACCACCCCCTCTTCAGGTTTGATGATTTGCCAGAATGACCCACAGAACTCAGGGAATCACTTTATTTACGTTTACTGGTTTTTTATAGAGTATACAAAATAACAGCCAGATGTAGAGGTGCACAGGGTGAAGTTTAGAAGGGCCTGGAACTCAGGAGCTTCTGTTCCTTGTGGAATTGGGCTGTACCACCCTCCCGGCACATGGATGCATTGATCAATGCAGGAGTTCTCCAGACCCCGTTGTTCAGGTGTTTTTATGGAGGTTTCATTGTGTAAACCGTGATTGATGATTAACTCAATCTCCAGCCCCTCTCCATTCACTAGAGGTTAAGGGTGGGGTTGAAAGTTCTAAGCTTCTAATCAAAGTTTGGTCTTTCTGGTAACCACGCCCCATCCTGAAGCTGTCCAGAACACTGGGAGTCACCTCATTAAAACAAAAGACGTTCACATCACTCATGAAATTCCCAGAGATTTAGAAGCTCTGTGTTAGTAACTAAAGGCAAAGAGCAAATACTACAACCACAAATGCCTCTGTCACTTAGAAAATTACAGGGGTTTTAGGAGTCTGTACTGGGAACCAAGGACAAAGACCAAATCACTATAGAAGCAGCATTGCTGTAATACACCAATTTTCTTCAGTAATACAGTGTAAGTGAAAGTACAATTTTTTAAAAAATGTTCTGATCAGAGCATGTGATGCTTCTGAAACAAGAATCATATAGATTTCTAGCCCCATCTGCTGGAATGTGTCTTCTGTGACCAGAAAAACAAAACATACTAAAATACTGTGGTTTTGGGGTTTTGTTTTTTGGGTTTTTAAAAACATTTTGAAATAGAGAAGCCCTAAATCTTATAAGTATTATAGGTTGGTTTGACACATTTATTTAAGAGCAAGTTGTAGCTCCCCATCCTGAAATCCAAAATATGCTTTACATGTATATGTAGCTAATGCTTAATAAGGATTCACTATAAAAATCCAGAGAAAGATGTATAAAAATGAAAGCTGCTCAGAAAACAATAGCATCTTTAATAAAGGAGAAAAAAAGCAGACAAGACATTCTATGGTTCTTTCCTTTTACCAAATAGGCTAAAATAAAAAAAACAAAGAAAATAAAACCAAAACAAAATGTCTAAAACATCAGGTTCATCTATTAATACAAGAAGCACACAACTAAGACTCAAGAGCTAAGAAGTTTAAGGAGAATACAGAAAGTAGCGTGGCAAACCATATAAGCCGAGTGACATTGGATGGATAGAACTTTCAGCCAAACTAAATGGGAGATCCTGAGAGAAGGAAAGGGGATGGTTGACAGTCTGGAAAACCTACGACAAAGATGCTTAGGATGGCTAAGTGAAAACAGATTGTGTTTAAAGATTTATTCATAATCTATTTGGAGCTTAGAATATATTTTCTCATAAAAATAGTGATTGACTTGCCTTGTCCCGTCCTTGAGAGTTGAAAATAGTACACGTTCTCAATTTGCTGTTAGTGTCTGAATATTCACATAATTTGGGATACCAGATTGCCCAAAACTCAGTTCTGAATATATTGTGCCTTTTATTTTTATCTCCAAGTGGCAGTTTTTAAAACTAGCCTTTTACCTTGATTTAAAATAATAGTGCCTGGCTGGGCATGGTGGCTCACGCCTGTAATCCCAGCACTTTGGGAGGCCGGGTTGGGCAGATCACCAGAGGTCAGGAGTTTGAGACCAGCCTGGCCAACATGGCATAACCCCATCTCTACTAAAAATACAAAATTAGCCAGGTGTGGTGGTGCATGCCTGCAGTCCCAGCTTCTTGGGAGGCTGAGGCAGGGTAATCGCTTGAATACAGGAGGTGGAGGTTGCAGTGAGCTAAGATTGCACCACTGGCACTCCCGCCTGGGCGACAGAGGAAGACTCCGTCTCAAAAAATAATAAATAAATTAAAAAAATAGAGTAAAATAGTAGTGCCTGCCACCACCATCAAACAGACCTTGTACTCTAATGCCAAGCTGTATATGGGATGCTTGCTGGCACATCTTCATTGGCACCATAAAATAGGGCCAAGAAAATAGACTCTGAGAGTAAGAAGTCTGTATTGGTTAGGAGTAACTTTGTCCTGGCTCTCTGGACTCTCAGAGTAAGAGGTCTGTGTTGGTTAGGAGTAACTTTGTCCTGGCTCTCTGGACTCTCAGAGTAAGAGGTCTGTGTTGGTTAGGAGTAACTTTGTCCTGGCTCTCTGGTGTAAAGCTCTCAAATGTGACTATGTCAATCCGGGTGGGATAATGGACTCGGCTCTGTCTGCAACATGCCATTTTGCAGAGAAGCACTCTAATGCATAAGCTTTTTATGCTGTAAAATATAGTAGCTGAAATTAAATGCCACTTTTTCAAAGGTGAATTAATGGAGAGCCTGGTGAAAGTCAAAGCTTTTTGATGTATAAAACTTGATAAATGGACCTATTCCATCAATAGGCAAAGTATAACAACCTGTCTACATAGATAGTATGTAATTTCTGCACAGGTCTCTGTTTAGTAAATACATCACTGTATATCAATCTGGAATTTTGCTCCAATAAAGGAACATAAAGTTTTGTTTTTGTTTGAGACGGAATCTTGCTGTGTCACCCAGGCTGGAGTGCAGTGGCGCAATTTTGGCTCACTGCAACCTCTGCCTCCTGGATTCAAGGGATTCTCCTGCCTCAGCCTCCTGAGTAGCTGGGATTACAGGTCCCAGCCACCACACCCGGCTGCAGTTTTGTATTTTTAGTAGAGCCAGGGTTTCACCATGTTGACCAGACTGGTCTCGAACTCCTGACCTCAAGTGATCCACCCGCCTCAGCCTCCCAAAGTTCTGGGATTACAGACGTGAGTCATTGCGCCTGGCCAAGAATATTTTTTGGGGAAAAAAAAAAAAAAAAGTAGTACACATTCTTAGCGCAGATGGGCTTGGCCAATAACACGTGATGGAGAAGGAGATGTGAGACAACAGGGAGAGGCAGGGACGGTGTGGGCTGGAGACCCTGGGACCCCCTGCCAGATCTTCCACTTGGTCAGAAGATGGTGGAAATCTGGATTTTGTGTGAAATCTCTCAGTTTATTGTTGACAAGTCAATTCAAATTTTAGAAACGTGATGTAGGTCAGCTCTTGAGTTAGATGGTTCTCCAAGCTGCCAGTTTACAACTCTGATTCTAGCGAAAGAGACAGCCTCTACCATTTTCAGTACAGCTGTAGGAAGATCCTTCAGTGGACTACCTTATGACCTTCTTATCTCCTTTTTCTGCCTCTTGCTCTTCCCACTTCAGCCCAAACTAAGCACATGAGCTCTAGCCATCACAGAAGTAATTCTGACATCCAACCTAACATTCTGTGATTTCACCTAGCAAGCTTGAGTGAATTTGTCAGGTCTTGCAGAGTGTGGAGCCTGCCCCATGTCTCGCCTGATGTCCTTTGCTAGGATTCCTTTCTTTCAGCTAGCTTCAGCTCTACAGACATAGCACGTCAGCTCTTTTTAACTCCATGGAGCCTTAAAAAGAACTAGTGCTCACAGGTCTAAACCTTAAGCATATGCCTGTTCCCTATACTCTGGTAACTCCTGATACATTTTTATTTGTGTATCCCCGTGTTCCTACTTTCATATGTGACTATGGGAATTAGCTAATTTGGAAGGAATTAGCAGTTTTCTGCTCATAATCAGGGTACTACATCCATTTATCCCCACATTCCCCAGTAATTTCAGCTTGTCTGACTTCTATTTTTTTCTAATTGAATTCGTCTCATTTTGCTTATGAGTAGATACTTTATTGATTTTGGATTTTTCAGTTTGCATGGATCCTCAGGTTCTCTGTTATTCTTTTACCTTTAAACCACACATCAGAGCTGTGGAACGGATTGAGGAAGAGCAAATGGGGTCAGGTCATTTCATGAGAAAGAGCCAGGAGTTGCGGGATGTAGGTGGGAGGAAGGAATGAATTAATATATACTTCTCTAGAATTTCATACTAGGAATATACAGAACGGAAAAGAATTGGGGAGCTGAGATGAGTAAGTCCTAAGAATAAATGTTGATTTAGTGACTCATAAACTTCTTTTGGCCAACTAGAATCTAACAACCATTGAACACTTGTGTTAGCCACAGTGCTGAGCAGTTTATGCTTATTAGCTTACTTAAACTTTACAACAACCCCATAAAGTAAGCATTATTGCTATTCTGATATTCTTTTAAAATTGTAACCAACTTCTGTGCCTAAAATGTTAACTCTTACGCCAATAGCTTTCAAACTTTATTGACCACAGCTCATAGAAATATATTTAACATTTTGCATACATAGCGACCTAGAGTAGATACATACATATAAGTGACAGAAAACTTCATAAAATAACATTTCCTGTGAATAATGTGCTGTAATATTTTTCTATTTAGTTTTATTAAAAAGCTGTTTTGGGCCAACCAAACTGATATCAGAACTCACTAATGTGTTGTGACCTACAATTTGAAAAAAAACAGCATTGAGCCATAGTTCTTACCATCTTTCCTCATATGTACACAGGCAAGATGAGGCGTGAACCAAAGTACTAAGCAAACCAAGACACATGCTCAGATGTACAGGCCTTTTTGTTTAATGTTAACTAGTGTAAAAATACTGTAATTCCTTTGGTGATTTAAAGGAATCTGCTGTACAAGAGTAGTTACAAATTAGGAAATGACCTCAAATACCAACGTTGCTTTGAAAAAGACTCATGGAAACTCAGGGTTGGAGAGACTTAACTATCATTCCATCCAGTCACCCATGTGATGCCTTAATCATCTCTATTTTGTATTCAATCTGTGCTTGAGACACTACCAATTGAGAGTGGCTTGCCTTTCGGAATAACCCATTCCAACTTTTTACCTGGTGGGAGGGAGCAAGTGCTTTGGAAGATTGAACTGAAATTTGTCTCCCAGTAACTTGGTTCTCTTCATCTTCATCCCATCCCTTGTATCGCCCTTGGAGATGTTTGAAGAAAACTCTGGAGTTCTAGCTTTGCAGAATGGAGTCCCATAGGGTGCTCAGCAGCCATCACAGATGCTTCAGCCTCTTGGTAACCCATGTTGTGCTCATCTCCCTGGAACAGGACCTAATGCACTGCACAGCATTTGCAACGGCAGATGAGTATCATCTGGGAAATCTGTCTCAAGATCTGGCCTCCCACGGATATGTTGAAGTAACAAACTTGCCTAGAGGTACTTCTTCTTGAACCTGGGGCCAAGTATATTAAAATGTATTGGATAATTTTCCTATGATACTATCTTAAGTATGTATTTGTTTGCAATTCATTTTCTTTTGAAAGGATTGTATCATAAAAGTGGGTGTTGAATTTCTTTATACAGATGACAAAGTTAAGAAATGAAAATGTACAGAGAACTTCTCATTAAAATCAGTATGATTTATTAAGCATTATTTATAGGATCATTATTACTTGAGGTGGTCAGAGGTCATACTACTTCATTTCTAGCACATTAAGAAGTTATTTTAGTTTGTGTGTGTGTGTATGTATTTTTTTTTTGTTTTTTGAGATGGAGTTTCGCTGTCGTTGCCCAGGCTGGAGTGCAGTGGCGGGATCTCGGCTCACTACAACTTCTGCCTCCCAGGTTCAAGCGATTCTCCTGCCTCAGCTCCAGAGTAGCTGGGATTACAGGCATGCGCCACCACACCTGGCTAATTTTTGTATTTTTAGTAGAGATGGGGTTTCTCCATGTTGGTCAGGCTGGCCTCAAACTCCCAACCTCATCTGATCCTCCTACCTTGGCCTCCCAAAGTGCTGGGATTACAGGTTTGAGCCACGGCACCCAGCCCGTTATTTTAGTCTTATAGAAGAACCATGAAGTTGATAGACATGGGGAGAGCCTTTAAAAAAAATTTACCAGCTCAATCTAATACTTTAAAACAATTAGTTAGCCGGGTGCAGTGGCTCACGCCTGTAATCCCGGCACTTTGGCAGGCCAAGGCGGGCAGATCACCTGAGGTCGGGAGTTCGAGACCAACCTGACCAACATGGAGAAACGCCTGTCTCTACTAAAAATACAAACAATAATAAAACAACTAGTTAAAAGATAAAAATGAAAAAGAAGAAAATTAAAATGAACTTAATTGAGGATTTTTATGGTGATATCAGGAAGAATTCTTGAGAAATGGCTTGCTTTACATTAACTAAAAATAATTTAGGCCAGTCATGGTGGCTCAGGCCTGTAATCCCAGCACTTTGGGAGGCTGAGGCAGGTGGATCACTTGAGGTCAGGAGTTCGAGACCAGCCTAGCCAACATGGCAAAACCCCCATCTCTACTAAAAATACAAAAATTAGCCAGGTACAGTGGCATGAGCCTGTAGTCCCAGCTACTCGGAGACTGAGACACAAGAATTGCTTGAACCTGGAAGGTGGAGGTTGCAGTGAGCTGAGATCATGCCACTGTGCTCCAACCTGGACGACAGAGTGAGACTCTGTCTCAAAAAACAAATAAATAAATAGGCCAGGCGTGATGGCTCATACCTGTAATCCTGCACTCTGGGAGGCTGAGACAGGCAGATCACCTGAGGTCAGGAGTTTGAGACCAGCCTGGCCAACATGGTGAAACCCCACCTCTACTAAAAATACAAAAATTAGCTGGGCATGGTGGTACGTGCCTGTAATCCCAACTACTCAGGAGGCTGAGGCAGGAGAATCACTTGAACCTGGGAGGCGGAGGTTGCAGTGAGCCAAGATCATGCCACTGCACTCCAGCCTGAGTGACAGAGCAAGACTCTGTCTCAAAAATAAATAAGTTACTTAGAACATTTTGATGAATAAACTTTTACCGTGAAACTCAGGATAGCCCAATACCCAGAACATTTATTAATTTACCTCAGAGTAGCAAAAATAGGTTGAAAGTCTTCCTGTAACAGAGGAGATTCTTAAGAGTCAATCCCATAGAAGATAGTTGAAATATCATTGTGATAATCCAAACAGACTGTTTGTGATTAGGTGACAAAAACAAGCATAGTTGACTTAGAAAGACAGAGCTATGTCTAGAGCCCGTTGGGATGAAAATTTGCCTGGAGGTACTGTTGGCTGACGCTGAAGGCTGCCAGCTGTGTGGTCTGTGCTTCACAAAATTGGGGGCTTCACTGCCCTGGGTTGTTTCAGTCAATTTTATTTTGCTTTTGGCTGCATAGGCAAACCCTGTCCTATGTAGGATGTAGTAATTAACAATTTACAAAAAAATAATAATAATAATTTTGGTCTCTGTCTGAATTGCCCATCACCCAACCTTTACCAGATATTTCTGAAGCTTTGAGGATCCTAATTTTATGTTAATTTCATTAAGACATACAACCTTTTGCAAATTAAGAGTATATTTATTAATTGATTAACATTGGTTGTCATTTATATTATGGAATATATGCTTATGATAAATATCAATATACTAATATGTAAAGCAACTTCTTATGATGAATATTGGTATATTAGTATATGTTTAACAACACTTAGGCCAGGCCCCGTGGCTCATGCCTGTAATGCACTTTGGGAGGCCAAGGCAGGAAGATGACTGGAGCTCAGGAGTTCAAGACCAGCCTGGGCAACATAGTGAGACCTCATCTCTACAAAACATGAACAAAAACTTAGCCGGGTGCAGTGGTGCATGCCTGTAGACCAAGCTACTTGGGAGGCTGAGGTGGGGGGAGTCCCTTGAGTCCAGGAGGTTGAGGTTGCATTGAGCTGAGGTCATAGCACTGCACTTAGCCTGGGAGACAGAGCAAGACCCTGTCTCAAAAAAAAAGAAAAAAAAATTTTTTTAATAGTTGCCGGTGGCTGCAGTGGTAGCCCCTGCAGTGGTTAACCTTGAAATCACATATGTTTTGAAATGATCAGTATCTTTATTTCTGTGTATTTTCTATTGCCCTACTCTTTATACTTTAAAATTCAGCAGAAGTAGTAGTTTGCAAATATTAAAATTGCATTATTAATGAAATAGTATTTAAGGGAAGAGAATATATTAATACTTCAAATTTTATTTTTAATTAATTTCGTAGAAAGAAGTCTGATTCTTGACACTTAGTTATATCGAACCTAAGACTTTAATAATTATCTGGACTAGTGATTATTGAATCAAAATGGGCATGAATGAGCTCTAATAATAATATCACAGGTTGTTGAATGTTTTATAAAAGTAATTGCTGATCATTTTTTTGGTGGTCATAGTTGCATTTTTATATATTAAATCCTTTCAGAGGCCTTAGTGGAAAGATGGTGATTGTGTTACAGAGCACTCCGTGTTACATAAAGAAATTATCTTAAGTACTTTATTAGAGTATTTATAGGTGACTCTTATACCTTGTGTTACCTTGACATAGCTTTTTTGTTCATTTATTTTAAATCACAGATGCAGCAAATATTTTGGTGATGGGTGTGGAAAATTCTGCAAAAGAAGGTGATCCTGGAACGATATTCTTCTTCAGGTAAGACAGGAAAGAAGCCCCATTAGGTGATGATGGGTTTGGGTCAAGTAATTGTGGTCTTTAAAGGTGCAGGCATACCTTTCTTAACAGTAAATGTGTTCAAATTGTATTTGTGATTTAAATTTATCACTTAATTCTTATTTAATCTAGGAGAGTTTGTCACTTTTAGGAATTCTCTGGTAAACCCTCTTATAAAGTAAAGAATTTTTCAAACAAGTGAATGATCTTCCCCGGGGTGTCTTTCTTTGTACATACGGATTTTCATGGACTAAATTTCTGGAAAGCAGCCAAATTCCTATTCATCTTTAGTGCCCCTTGTCAGACTCCTGCCCCAGGGAAACTCCCGCTACCTCCCTGCTGTCTCTTCTTGCATTTTCTTTCTTTTCTCCCTTCCCCTTTGGTAGCTCTTTAAAGTTTTAGCTTACCTCTCCAGAGGTTTTAGACTAGGAGACTCACATGCACACTTACTCCTTTTATCTAAAGGCTGACTCAATACTAAATATTCCACAGTAGCTGCCTGGGAATGATAATAATGATAGAACCGTGTGAAATAATCTCACTTATCCTCACCACACTGGATGAAGGTCTGTTACTCCTATTTTGCACCTGAGGAAACTGAGGGTCATAGGGATTAAGTGAATTACCCATAGTCATGAGACTAATATGTGACAGAACAGAAACACATGGAACATCTGTAGGAATCCAAAGTTGAGTAAAGTTTTTGTGGTCATAATCCTTATAGTTGATTATAAGTGGAAGTTCTTTTTTCCTTTCAATGCCTACCTTCCTGTTGACCCCATCTTTAGAGATAATCAAGATTCCAGCATTTAATTCAAGTAGAATAATAGCATCCCTGTTGTTCCGAGTGAGGAATTTAGATTTCTGAGGGATTCTAGATCAGCACTGTCCAGTAGAAATATAATGCAGCCTTGGCTGGGCGCGGTGGCTGACACCTATAATCCCAGCACTTTGGGAGGCTGAGGCGGGTGGATCACAGGGGCAGGAGTTCAAGACCAGCCTGGCCAACATGGTGAAACCCTGTCTTTACTAAAAATACAAAAAATTAGCTGGGCATGGTGGAGGGTACCTGTAATCCCAGCTACTCGGGAGGCTGAGGCAGGAGAATGGCGGAAACCTGGGAGGCGGAGCTTGCAGTGTGCTGAGATTCGGCCACTGCTCTCCAGCCTGGGCGACAGAGCGAGACTCTGTCTCAACAACAACAACAACAACAAAATTAATTTTGAACAACACAAATAATATGTTTCTTGAAATTAATTTTAACAACGTATTTTATTCAACCCAGCGTATCTAAAATATTATCATTTCAACATGTAATTAATAATGATATTTTTTTACTCTTTATACTAAATCTTTCAATTTTGCAGTGTACTTTACACTTACACTTATAGCACATCTCAGTTTGCACCAGGCATGTTTCAAGCGCTCAGTAGCCACATGTGGCCTCTGAATACCATATTGCACAGTGCAGTGCATTCCTCTAGATGGAGAAATACGCAATTCACCAGACCTCTCTTCTGCCTGGAAAGAATTCTCTGAACTGATACTTTGGCTGTGGCTTGAAATACCTCTCAAATCCGTATTCAGAAAGGGCCTTATCCCTGCCTATTGTAACAGCTGACTTATTGTCTCCCTGCCTGCCTGCTCACCCAGCACCAGTCTGTCTGTCTGTTGTAAGCAGGGTCATTCTTCAGTGGCCATTTCTGACCATTATACTCTCCTGCCTAAATTTCCATGGACTATGAACAAGTTCTCGATCACTACATAAAGTTCCCTTCTGTATTGGCCGCTGCTTGCCTCTTCAACCTGGTTGCCCACTACTTGACCACATCTGGAGCCATGCAGCTGCTGGCTGTTTATTCTGAGATGCTGCTGTGCTCCCTCCCGCCTCCTCTCTGAGCCTGTGTGTCCCCTCTGCTGTGTTGTCTCCTCTTGTTTTCTCATTTGGCTACCTCTGCTAGTCCTTTAGCAAAGGGGTCTGTCTGGTGTACATCCCATGGTATACTCTGCGTACTTGTGTAGCACTGATCACACGCTGTTGTAATTGGTGGCCTAAGTGTCAGCCCCAGTCTTTTCTAGGTTGAGGATAGGAATGAAATCATACTTACCTTTCTGTCACAAATACTAAGCACGGACGGCCGGGCGCGGTGGCTCAAGCCTGTAATCCCAGCACTTTGGGAGGCCGAGACGGGTGGATCATGAGGTCAGGAGATCGAGACCATCCTGGCTAACACGGTGAAACCCCGTCTCTACTAAAAAATACAAAAAAACTAGCCAGGCGAGGTGGTGGGCACCTGTAGTCATAGCTACTCGGGAGGCTGAGGCAGGAGAATGGTGTAAAACCCAGGAGGCGGAGTTTGCAGTGAGCCGAGATCAGGCCACTGCACTCCAGTCTGGGCGACAGAGCGAGACTCCGTCTCAAAAAAAAAAAAAAAAAACTAAGCACGGACCCACACATATACTAAATACTTAAGAAATGTTTAAAGAATAATGTGGGGCCGTTAATATTTTTACCTTTCTTTTATTTCCTCCTTTCCTTCCTCCAGTGCAGTGACCCTGAGCCATAACTCCTGTTTTTATTTACTACCTGAAACAGCTTCAACACGTCAAACTTCAGAAATCAAAACAACTGCATTTGTAGTTTTAGACCCTAAATAATGTTAAAGCCATAATCAGATTCAGAGGGCCTCCTATGGTGTCATTGTAGTTCTGTTCAAAGCACTGTGAGCACGGGGAGCATTATTCCATAGAGGCCTTTAACCATCTGGCGCTTAAATTAACCACCATCTCTTTATTCCACAACTATTACAGGCATAGTCCTTTATTTCTTGCCATAGTAGAATCTGCCTAATGAGAGCTAAAACAAGGTCTCAAAAAATTTCCTTATTCTGATTTCTGTGGATCAGAATTGAACCAGGTATGAAAGAGTCTACATAAGTGAAGTTATATAGTATTACAATAATGGCTATTTGTTTGGCAAACCATGTGAGAAATCATAAATTTTGGGGAGGCCAGGTTTTATCAAGAATTTTATTTTCGCTCTTATTGTAGCAAGCTTACCTAAGGACCATAATAGCAAATTAGTAAGTACATCATATTTTGAAAAATCGCATCCTGTATATATTCTAGAAGTTACATGGTTTTATATATGACCCTAAAGAATGTATTCTACCTGTATCTTAGTTGGTTCTTTTATTTTTTTAAATCAGGGAAGGAGCTGCTGTGTTTTGGAATGTGAAAGACAAAACTGTAAGTGTAAATAAAAATGTGAAAGTATAAAAATGTAGTTCTGTGAGAATGAACTAATTAGCACAAACTGAAACATTAGAAATTAATAGATAATGCACAACTTATTTGCTCTGTATTACATGATACTTATCAGTTTCAGCTTCCAAAATATATTGTATTTTGGGTTGAGAGTTCCTGTGTTTTCCTTTCTCTAGACACACACTAGTTTGTGGAGAATCAGAACCATCCTAACTACACTGCACACAGAAAGAAGTACTGTACACTTTGCATGTTGTACTATATAAAATATATACACAGTTAATTGGAAGCTGGTTGCATTGAGGGTTCTTTTAGGTCAAGTTGTCTAGAACTTACTAATGAGAAATAACTTTTTCAATATCCAAATCAAGATTTGTTTAATACAACCGTTTTAGAGGCAAATTGGTAATCTCCATTAAAGCCTTTATAGTTAACCCAGCAATTTTACACCTAGAAATTTATCCAAAGGAAATAATCATAACTATTCATGATGATTTTTGTACAAAAGTGTTCATCAGAGCAATATTTATAATGGCAAAAATTAGAAATTACCAAAATACACAATAATAGTTTGTTAAATACATCCATATACTACAGTTATACTACAGATTCCCTTAGAAATCATGTAAAAAAAAATCTATTTCTGGGAGATTACCATATATATAATACAGTTACATTAAAAGAGCAGATTATACGACCAGGCACGGTGGCTCACACGTGTAATCCCAGCACTTTGGGAGGCCAAAGCCGGCAGATATCTTGAGGCCAGGAGTTCGAGACCAGCCTGGCCAACATGGTGAACCCCATGTCTACTAAAAATACAAAAATTAGCTGGGCGTGGTGGTATGCACCTGTATCCCCAGCTACTCGGGTAACTGAGGCACAAGAATCACTCAGAGGCAGAGGTTGCAGTGAGCCAAGATCAGGCCATTGCACTCCAGCCTGGGAGACAGAGGGATACTCTGTCTCAAAAAAAAAAAGTTACGAAATATAACCAATATAATCTCAGAAGTGGTTAAAACACATGCTTTATATAATCCCAATTTTACTAAAAGGAAACACACACAGAAAATATAAATGACCAATAATAAGAAAATACAAGTTGGCTGTTTGAAGTTGCAAAGATGTAAAAGGCTGATAAACCTCATTTTCTTAAGAGTAGTTTCATAAATGTTTAGATTCTACATTTGAAAAAACTACTTTGAAGAGCAGGCTAGCAATATCATAAGTATGGGCCAGGTGTGGTAGCTCACACCTATAATTTTACCACTTTGGGAGTCTGGGGTGGGAGGATCACTTAAGCTCAGGAGTTCCAGACCAGTCTGAACAACATAGTGAGATCCCATCTCTACAAAAAGTTTTTAGAGCTGGGTGCGGTGGTTCACGCCTGTAATCTCAGCACTTTGGGGGACCGAGGCTGGTGGATCACAAGGTCAGGAGATCAAGACCATCCTGGCTAACATGGTGAAACCCCATCTCTACTAAAAATACAAAAAAACTTAGCCACACCTAGTGGCGGGCGCATGTGGTCCCAGTTGCTCAGGAGGCTGAGGCAGGAGAATGGTGTGAACCCAGGAGGCAGAGCTTGCAGTGAGCCGAGATTGCACCACTGCACTTCAGCCTGGGCGATTGAGCAAGACTCAAAAAAAAAAAAAGTTTTTAGAAATTAGCCAGGTGTGGTAGTGTGTGCCTGTAGTCCCAGCTACTTGGAAGATTGAGGCAGGAGGATCACTTGAACCCAGGAGTTTGAGACTGCAGTGAGCTATGATTGCATCAGTAGCATCACTGCACTCTAGCCTAAGTGACAGAGTGAGACCCTGTCTCTTACATATATACATATTGTGTAAGTGCACATATCTTTTTATGTAGCAATTCCTAAAGAAATATTCCCACAAGGCCATGAAGACCTATGCACAAGTATGGCACATTGCAACATTGTAATAGTAGAGAGTAGGAAAAATTCCCCATGGAGGACACACCTAGGTTGGTTAAATAAATTGCAGTTCCCTTGTTAAGGAAAATAGTGTTGAAAATGTTCATGTGCATAATATGATCCTATTTTACATAAAAAGCAGCATAAATAGGTACATATATACACATAAAAAGTCTGGAAGGATATGCATCAAGTTTAATCATGGTTGCCTCTGGGGATTAGGATTTCAGTAGGGCAGAGAGAAAGAGATGATCACTTCCCACACCTGTGTGGCTTAATTTTGTATCAGTATATTGGGCTTTACTTTTCATTTTTTTTCTTTGCACAACATGCAAAACAGTACTTGCACAACATGCAAAGTCTACAGTACTTCTTTCTGTGTGCAGTATAGTTAGGATGGTTCTGGTGCCACCACACCCAGATAATTTTTGTATTTTTTTGTAGAGACAGGGTTTTGCCATGTTGCCCAGGCTGGTCTTGAACTTTTAGCTCAAGGATCCACATGCCTCTGCTTCCCAAAGTGCTGGGATTATTAAAGAGATTTAAAGAATACAAATTATAATATTACTAGTGATTTTCTTTGGGTTGTGGGATAATGATAACCTTGATTTTCTTTTCCATTCTCATCTGTGTTTTCCAAGTGTAAAAACAAATGAACATGTCATCCTGATTACTTTAATATCACAATGGATTTGATTTGCCTTTTCCTTAAAAACATGCAACAGAAATAATACCTGTAAGTGTAATGAAGACTGTTATAAGCATTAAAATCATAACATAATTGAACTGAGGGAGTCAGTTATGATTTCAAGTTAATCTTCCTTTTCTTCTAGATGAAGCATGTGATGAAAGTTCTAGAAAAACATGAAATTCAGCCCTATGAAATCGCACTGGTACACTGGGAAAATGAAGAACTTAACTACGTAAAAATAGAGTAAGCAGCTTTTCATCAAATTTATGAAAGGGGCACTTGGAATAAATTAGGTAAAGCAATAGAGGAGAGAAATTATTATGCATATGGAAACTTTTTTTTTTTTTTTTTGAGACGAAGTTTTGCTCTGTCACCCAGGCTGGAGTGCAGTGGTGCAATCTCGGCTGACTGCAACCTCTGCCTCCCGGGTTCAAGCAATTCTTCTGCCTCAGCCTCCCAAGTAGGTGGGACTACAGGCGTGCACCACCACGCGCAGCTAGTTTTTTGTATTTTTAGTAGAGGCGGGGTTTCACCATGTTGGCCAGGATGGTGGCCAACTCTTGACCTTGTGATCTCTTGACCTTGTGATCCGCCCACCTCAGCTTCTCAAAGTGCTGGGATTACAGGTGTGAGCCACTGGACCTTGCCTGGAAACTTCATTTTAGAAAAAAGTGGCCGGCCACAGTGGCTCACACCTGTAATCCCAGCACTTTGGGAGGCTGAGCCAGGTGGATTACCTGAGGTCAGGAGTTCAGGACCAGCCTGGTCAACATGGAAAACCCAGTCTCTGCTAAAAAATACAAAAATTAGCTGGTTATGGTGGTGGGAGCTTGTAATCCCAGCTACTCGGGAGGCTGAGACAGGAGAATTGCTTGAACCCGGGAGGCGGAGGTTGCAGTGAGCCGAGATCGCGCCATTGCACTCCAGCCAGGGTGACGAGAGTGAAACTCCATCTCAAAAAAAGAAAAAGGTTACTGGTACAAAGTCTAAACCATATAATAAATATTAGAAGATAAACATAATTTTTTGAACTTCTCAGGCTATCCACAAGTTAAAACAAGTCAATAGTATAGCCCCAAAATGGAAATTTTAAGTTTCTAGGCAGCATAATCCAATAAAGTAGTATCCTTTTATCAAATGAACCTATCAAATTATTCCAGTAAATTTTTCCTTAATCCAGTTTTTTCCTATTGATTTTGGGGTGAGGGTGGTATAAAAAGGAAGTATAGTGAGGGGCAATCTGAGAGACCCACTTGTAGAGGTGTGGGTACTGGAAGAAGTGGGACCTGATGTACCATTTTCACTAAGATGTATGGGTAGGCAATGTTCTAGCTGATTTTGCTGACTCAGCCAGAGGGAAAAAATGAAGAGATGTTAGGGCTAAGACAGAGGCAGTATGAACAAGATGGTAGTGTCTTTTTCCTCATGGAGTTACCTGCCCGGTGGAATATGAGTCTTTGCAGGTTCTTAAGAAAGGTAGTGTTGGCCAGGTAGGTGACTCACACCTGTAATCTCAGCACTTTGGGAGGCCAGGGTGGGAAGATCACCTGAGTCAGGAGTTCAAGACAGCCTGGCCAACATGATGAAACCCCATCTCTACTAAAAATACAAAAATTACCCAGGTGTCGTGGCAGGCGTCTGATCCCAGCTACTTGGGAGGCGGAGGCGGAGAATTGCTTGAACCTGGGAGGTGGAGGTTGTCATGAGCCGAGACTGCACCACTGCACTCCAGCCTGTGCAACAGAGTGAGACTCTGTCTCAAAAAAAAAAAAAAAAAGCATTAAAAGCAGAGCTTTGGGAAGATTTGGAAGAGAGACAGAGACTAGCTATAGAAAGACCAGATGGGGATAAGAGCTGAGTAATCAGCACTTAGCACCAATAGGGCCAGTCACAGTTTTTTGTTGTTGGTTTTTTTTTTTTTTTTTTGGAGACAGAGCCTCTCTCTGTCGCCTAGGCTGGAATGCAGTGGCGTGATCTCGGCTCACTGCAACCTCCGCCTCTGGGTTCAAGCAATTCTCTGCCTCAGCCTCCCGAGTAGCTGGGATTACAGGCGCCTGCCACCATGCCTGGCTAATTTTTGTATTTTTAGTGGAGATGGGGTTTCACCATCTTGGCCAGGCTGGTCTTGAACTCCTGACCTCATGATCCACCCACCTCAGCCTCCCAAAGGGCTGGGATTAGAGGTGTGAGCCACCGCACCCAGCCACAGTTTTCTAAGTAAGTGCCTTCCGTGCATTATTTCATTTAATCCTGAGAAAAACCCTATAATTGCAGCTAACTGGCTTTCAGATGAGAATTATTGAATCCTGTCTTGCCAAAGGGCACCTGACCTGACTGTGAGTCAGCCTGAGCCCAGTGGCGGCTGCAGTCAGAGGTAAGAATGTAAACCTGAGAGAGACAGCAAATGAGTAGCCCATAGTTTTGTTATCTTTAGTGGTTATTCAGCCCTTGGCCTGCGGATATGGCTCCTGTGAATCCCCTTTCTGTGTTCTATTAGGTTTACATTACAACGGCAAAAACCGTGATGACTTTTCCACCAACCTAATACTACCATATCAAACTACTGCTTACTAGACCCTTGTGTGTGTGTACGCTTATCCACACAGTCTGTGAGGAGTAAAAATCCTCAGTGCTTAGGATCCCAGTCAGCTATTTTGTTTCATCAGAAACACTGTCCTGGCTGCCACCTACGTGGTTATTATTTGAGTTCTGCCACGATTCCAGGGATCTGCTCAGCTCTGTGGCATGGGTCGAGCTCACTCATAAAGCCTCTTGTGGCCGAGCACAGTGGCTCATGCCTGTAATCCCAACACTTTGGGAGGCCAGGGTGGGCAGATCACTTGAGGTCAGGAGTTCGAGACCAGCCTGGCCAACATGGTGATACCCTGTCTCTACTACAAATATAAAAATTAGCGGGGTGTGGTGGTGCATGCCTGTAATCCCAGCTACTTAGGAGGCTGAGGCAGGAATGTCACTTGAATCCAGGAGGCGGAGGTTGCAGTGAGCTAAGATCATGCCGCTACACTCCAGTCTGGGCGACAGAGCAAGACTCCGTCTCAAGGAAAAAAACAAACAAACAAAAAACCTCTCGTGACTGCTGTCTTTGCTTTCCTTCCTCCATCTGAGGCTGTCACAGCAGATACCGCCTCTCAGCCCTCCATCAGGCCCCTTGTCCCCCTCCCTTTGGCCGTCTCTTCTTGTCTGACATCTTTTGTGAAGGTTTACCCTGTATTTTTTCCATTTACTTGTGATGTTTATATTCACATGTTCCCCTCTTCCCCCATCCCCTGTCCAGGGTTCTCCACAGTCACATATTCATTTTCACAACTTATTTGTCTCCCTCCCCAACTCCACCATGTCAGTGTGAGTTTAGATTACACTCCATATATAGTTTTATATGGAGCATTTTTTCACATAGAAATTTACTGTGAACGTTCTCCTTTTTATTAACTATCCTTCCACAGCACACTTTTAAGTTTTTCTTGTGTGGAGTGACTATTACTGAGCCAACCCCTACTGAACATTTGGTTTCTTTCCTAATTTTTTACTCTTAAACACTGACCATTTTTTAAAGTTTTCAGCTGGGCAAGATGGCGCACACCTGTAATCACACCACTTTGGGAGGCCGAGGTGGGTGGATCATTTGAGGTCAGGAATTCAAGACCAGCCTGGCCAGCATGGTGAAATTCCATCTCTATTAAAAATACAAAAAAAATTAGCTGGGCTTGGTGACGCACGCCTGTAATCCCAGCTACGGGGGAGGCTGAGGCAGGAGAATCACTTGAACCCAGGAGACAGAGGTCGCAGTGAGCTGAGATCGCACCACTGCACTCTAGCCTGGGCGGCACAGTGAGACTCTGTCTCAAAAAAAAAAAAAGTTTTCTTGTGCACAAATTTTTCTTTGCGTCTTAGATTATTTCCTTAGGATAAACTCCTAGAGAGGGAATTACTTGGACCAAAGGGTATGAGAACATTTGTAACACTCCTGATATAAATTGTCAAAATGACCTCCAGAAAGATGATATGATGTCTTTTTCAAAGGAAAAGTTAAAGTGCTTTTTAAGTTTAGAAGGTATTATCTTTTTGCTTTTCACAGGGGACAGTCAAAACTTCACAGGGGGGAAATCAAGTTAAATTCAGAGCTGGATTTAGATGATGCCATTCTAGAGAAGTTTGCTTTCTCCAATGCTCTCTGCCTTTCTGGTAAGTTCCTACTGCTTATAGGATAGGGCACTACAGCTCTCATTTCATTGAGGGAAGTTTAAATATGTAGTAACGATTTTTGAAGTATATTTTCAGAATACTCAACAAAGGCTTAGTATTCCTTTTCCTTTTTTTGCCTCCGTCAGAAAAAATATCTGGTATAAAAGGTAGTACTGTGCTGAAGTTACTCGTTCCTTATTAATTGTATTAATAAAGCTTAACCTTTCCAAAAGTAGTTTTTAGATGATTATATTAGCCTTTGTTTTTTTCTCTTCTCTCTATGAAACTGTTATTCTTAGATAGTCTCTAATCCAGACAGAGATGCCCAGCCTCGTGTGACTGGGCACAGGTCCCGGTATAGAAAAACATACTCTAGTGTTTCATAGCAGTGGGACCCAGAGTCACAGTGGCTGTAAGTTTGTTCTGAAAGATCCATGTCCCGAATAAAACTATAGAAGTTCTTTAAGAATTTCTTTCGCCAGCAGTCTACCTTAGATGGCTGCTGCAGCATCCTGTCCATCCCACCCTGAGGGGCTTCGGAGATTTCTGAGGTTTAGTCCTCGTCCTGAGGAGCAAAGGAGAGGCCAGGAAAGTCTTAGTCCCTCCTGCAGAGCTACCCATGGTATCAAGCTGTACCCTACCCTCCTCAGTTTCCAAGATGTAATATTAGAAAATCAAGAATTCTACTAAACGTAGTTTTGGTCTACCAACAGTTCATGGAAAGCGATTCAGTTTCCTCTATCTACTTTAATTCTGTCCTTTATGATAATTAACTGTTCTCAAGTTATATTTTCAAGGTTTTTTTTTTTTTCCAAGTACTTTTTCTTAACCTATTATTGAAATAGTAGTGAAGATACTATGCAATTTACGTATTTTATATAAATGTGAATATGATGATAAAGAAATGTTCCATTATTAATTTTTTTCCCAGTAAAACTGGCAATTTGGGAAGCATCACTGGATAAATTTATTGAATCTATTCAGTCAATTCCTGAGGTAATTATATCAATTTTATGCTTATTCAAGGATTGATTTTTATACGGAAAAAATATGAATTTCCCAATGTAACAATACATAGTTGTCCCTCAGTATCCGTGGGAGATTTGTTCTAAGACCCCACTGGATACCAGAATCTACCAATGCCCAAGTCCCTGATATAAAATGGTAAATATTTGCCTATAACCTATGCGTATCCTCCCGTATACTTTCAACTATCTCTAGATTACTTATAATACCTAATATAATGTAAATACTATGTAAATAGTTGTTTTACTGTATTGTTTAGAAAATAATGACAAGAAAAAACAGTTTGCACATGTTCAGTACAGATGCAGCCATTCTTTTTTCTCTAAATATTGTCAATTTGCAGTTGGTTGAATCTGCAGTTGCAGAACTTATAGAGGGCCGATTGTTTAGGAGTACAACAAAATTATTATAAACAATAAGAAAGCTACACTAAACTTAAGCAAACTAGAACTCCCAGTTGCATGTAAAATGGCAAAATAAGAAACTTCATATTGGTTATTTTTTACTTTTTAAAACTTCAAATTGTTTTCCTCTGTTGGTGCAGTTGGTGCAGTATTTTTTTAAAAAATATTAATATAATTGAAATGGGGTCTGGCCATGTTGCCCAGGCTGGTCTCGAACTCCTGGGCTCAAGCAATCCTCCAGCCTCGGCCTCCCAAAGTGCTGGCATTACAGGCCATGAGCCACCATGCCCATCAGTTGCAGTATTTTTAATGTAACTGAATTAAAGAAAAAAGTGAAATGTTCCCTAAGAAAGGAAATTATGACCACTTTTCCTGATTTAAGAAAGTGTTTGATAAATTATGAGAAAAATAGTGGCATGAAAAATACATATAAAGTTATATTAACATTTCAGTATACATTAAAAATCATTTTATTGTAATTAACTGTCTTTGTTGTGAAAGAGTAATCTAATTATACTTTGGAAAGGAGGCCCTGCTTTTCTACTAAGAGATTAGGAATGTATATATCATATGAAATGCTGATGAGAAGGGAAATGAAAAAAGGGAATATATAATTTCTACCTAATACAGTTATGAAATTTCAAGGTGAGTTAAGACATTAATCTGGGAGACAGCCATACTAAAAAATATTTACATAGGATCCATATCGTGCCACTTCAGATTTTGCCCTGTTGACCAAATGCTTATTAGAAAGAGAGATACATGGTTTTTTTGTTTTTTGATTCCCTCTCAACTAGGCTTTAAAAGCTGGGAAGAAAGTGAAACTATCTCATGAAGAAGTCATGCAGAAAATCGGGGAACTCTTTGCCCTAAGGTAAAAGTTTTCTCTCTAAATAAAATATTTCATATATTTAACAATCTCAAGAAAACATTCCCATAGTTCTGTGGTAAAGAGCAAACATTTACACCTTTATGGGAATTGTAGCTGTTTTCATTTCATTGGTTATAAGCAGGGAGAACTCTCACCCATTAGAAGTAGTTGGGCTGTGTTAAGACTGTACTGAAAGAAATTATGCATGTGCAAAAGAGATCACGATTCATCTACATTAAACCCACATTAAGGAACACAGTAGATGTTCTTTGAAGGTAGAGAGACATATTCCTGAATTTGGTTAATGGGAATTCTCTGTAAAACTGTATCACTGCATCCTAATGCTAACTAGACCTAATTGCTACAGAAAAGTTTCTTTGAATCTGAGACACCAAGATGCCACTGGAGAGAAAAACTGCTGCCAGTTAAACTATGACAATACTTTTTTTATCAGAGGATTAAAATTTTACACTTACTGAAATAGCTTTTAGTCTTAGCTGGATATAAATTATATCACATTCCCTCTTAGGCATATAAATTATATCACATTCCCTCTTAGGCATATAAATTATATCACATTCCCTCTTAGGCATATATGAAAAGGAGAGCATAAGAAAATAAATTATTTAAAGCAAAGACAAGTAAGTCTCAACTGCCACCTGTCAGACACCATTAATTTTAAGATGTTAAAATGGGAATAACTATGTCTAAAAACTGATGAATCATTTAAATAAGTGTCTGGAAAGGTTTTCAGCTTATTTTATTCTTGTAGTTGTCCCAGGATTTATGGAATGAAACATCCCAGATGTTGGTGTTTTTCTCACAGGCAGCATTGTCCAATTTATCCCTTCTAGCATGTGGAATGAGTTACCAGAGCTCATTGCAAATGTTCACCTAAGACTTGTTTTTCCACATTCTCCTTAGACGCTCTGCCTGGAGAGAAGTGGTACAGTGTTTCATTGTCTGTGTGTCTCTCATAGCTCAGGACTTCTAGTTCAGGGTACCAGCAAAAATTAAAAACCCATCCATCAGGAGCATCGTGTAGCAGATCTGAAGCCTCAGATTCTCTGAGAAGTAGGGTACAGAGATTCTTCTCTCCTGTTCTCTTGGTCATGCAAGTAGAATTTGGTATTAGTGAATTATAATATCCAAACTGAATAGTTAGGACTAAATATACGTAGGTTTGTGAATAGTTTCTATAAAGGCTTACTTTTATTATCCTGTTTTCTTACTTATACAATAAAAATGCTTATTTGTTAATACAAGGAATGTGATACATCTGTGAAAATAAACGTGGCAAATATTTGAATAAAAAAAATCTAAATTTATATAGGGTATGATCCCATTTGTGTAAGCAAATAAAAATATTCATATTTATCTTTATATGCATACACATATACATGTATTTGCTTGCACACACATGCATGTATGAATACAGAAAGATCTGGAAGGACCCAGCAAAGTGTCTCTACAGGCCTGTCCTTGGGGAGAATAAAGGCTTTGAGTCGTGTGGTAGCATAAGAGGGCCTACCACTATTTTTCTGAATCCTTCTCTAGGATAGTTTCCTTTTTTTTTTTTATCATGAACATAGTATGTATGTATTACTTTTTTTTTTTTTTTTCAGTCAGGGTCTCGTCCTGTCACCCAGACTAGAGTGCAGTGGCATGATCATAGGTCACTGAAGCCTTGATTTCCTGGGCTCAGGGATTCCTCCTGCCTCACCCTTGTGAGTAGCTGGGACCACAGGAGTGATCTACCATATCCAGCTAATTTTTAAAATTATTTATAGAGACAGTGTCTCAAACCCTTGCTCAAGCCATCCTCCTCCCTTGGCCTCCCAAAGTGCTGGGATTACAGGTATGAGCCACCACATCAGCTTATGTGTACTTTTATAACTTAGATTTTTATTTCGTTAAATATCTAAGTGTAAGACCAGACGCAGTGGCTCACACCTGTAATCCCAGCACTTTGGGAGGCTGAGACAGGTGGATTGCTTGAGGCCGGGAGCTTGACACCAGCCTGGCTAACATGATGAAACCCCATCTCTACCAAAAATACAAAAATTAGCTAGGAGTGGTAGTGTGCGCCTATAATCCCAGTTTCTTGGGAGGCTGAGGCACGAGAATTGCTTGAACCCAGGAGGCAAAGGTTGCAGTGAGCCAGGATCACACCACTGCACTCCAGCCTGGGCAACAGAGCAAGATTCTGTCTCAAAAAAGGAAAAGGCCGGGCATGGTGGCTCACACCTGTAATCCTAACACTTTGGGAGGCCGAGGCCAGTGGATCACCTGAGGTCAGGAATTCGAGACCAGCCTGACCAACATGGATAAACCCTGTCTCTACTAAAAGTACAAAATTAGCTGGACGTGGTGGCGCATGCCTGTAATCCCAGCTACTCGGGAGGCTGAGGCAGGAGAATTGCTTGAACCCGGGAGGTGGAGGCTGCGGTGAGCTGAGATCGTGCCATTGCACTCCAGCCTGGGCAACAAGAACGAAACTCTGTCTCAAAAAAAAAAAGTAAGCACAGACTTCTTATATTAAAATGTAGAAATTAAGAGGGAGAGTGTGTATGTGTATGCTTGCTTGTCTAGTGTTTGCATAAACACTGGAAGGATACAGAGGAAACTAGAAGGGACTACTGATAGGGAAAGATACAGATAAGAATAAGAGTAAGATTTATCAATTTTTACCTGTTTATATCTTCTTGATCTGCTCAGGAGGCTGAGGGAGGAAGATCACTTGAGCCTAGGAGTTTGAGGCTGCAGTTAGCTATGATTGTGTCACTGCACTCCAAAATGGGTGACATGTGAAGACATTACCTCTAAAAAAATTTTTTTAATAAAAAACAAAAAAGTGTGTACATATTAAATTTTTTTTTTT